CGGTTGATAAGCAGTGACCATGCAGACTTGGAAAAAAAATCATCTGATTAATTGTTTGCGTTTACATGAGCATCATTTGAATCAAAATATAAAAATTATATTGACGAGACAACTTTATTAACAATGACACGTTTAAAGATTTGAAAACGGACTACTGCTGTGTTGTTGGTTGCGGTAATATACGATCTGATATGCCGCCTGGCTTTAATTGTACCTTTAATTGTCACAAATTCACGCTGAGGTCGTTCACTTAACGGGAAGAATAAATTAGATAAATAAGCGGGGCTCACTTCATCTACATAGTATAAGGTCATAAATTAAGAAGTCAATTAACACCAGAGCCATGTGGAATCCTCGTATTACCTTGTACAATCTCACCAGGTGACAATTGATAAAAACGTACCCTTATCTATACATACAGTTACTGATAAAGGGCGACTATTTGATTGATTTATTCAACTTTTGTACACAATTATTTCCTGCATCCTGCAGATTATTCTTTTCCATCCTGCCTGGTCATACTTATTTATTTTTAACTCCTACTAGAATAATAATTTTCTAAACACCCCCCCCCCCCCTAAAAATCAAATGGTCATCCCCTTATACAGATATTTAAAATGTTAACCCTAGTACCTAATTTATACTTATTTATCATGGCCAGTACGGACCTTATTGCCACAAGGAATATTTCAATAATTTAGGAGGGGGGTCATTCAGCAATTTGATCTTTTTTTATGGCAAAGCGTGGTAAATATAGGATATTCAATTAATTTTAATGGCATGAAAAATGATAAAGTTGAAAATACATGTATGTAGAAAATTACTCTGGTTGCTGGGACTGAACCTCTGCATAGCAGAAGCGGATTTAGGGGGGGGGGGGGTGGGTGGGCAGGGGGCCCGGGCCCCCCTTTTGTCGGAAAAATTTTGTTTATTATATAGGGAATCACTGAAGCCCTCTCTTAGGCAGTCAGTGGGCCCCCTCTTATGAAAATTTCTGGATCCGCCACTGCATAGACGAAGTCGATCATCAACATAGCTTAGAAATTAAAATGGTATTGAATGCATTGTATTATAGTCTGATGTTTAAAATTAAAGATAAACCTGTATTTCTGATACGTATTTTTAAACTGCTTTTATATCTCTCTTCATTGTCATGGCCGTTTAAAATATCACTGACGCAGAAATATTTGAAACAAATGTACATTCAAATAAGAGGATGTGGTATGAGTGCCAATGAGACAACTCTCAATCCAAATCACAATGTATAAGAAGTTAACAATTAGAGGTCACAGTACGGTCTTCAACACGGAGCCGAGGCCCTGTCTACTACATGTCAATTTTTCTGTTGGTATTCTGAAAGCACATTTTATTTTGATGTTGAACTTCTATCATTCATTTTACCTTCAAATATTCATATAATGATACATTAAAATTTTTCTCTGTATAGTCCATACAAAATGTTTCATATTTATACAGCCTGTAGCTTAAAAACAAAACTCGGTGACCTATCATTGTGTTATTCATATTTTTAACATATCATAATGTATACTACATCTTTGACAAAGGATATAAGGACAAATTCTATCAATTTTGGTTTACACTTCCATACTACTATTAGTGGAAATTTCGATTATTTAGTAATGCCGGTAACTTGTCCTTGTACCCATAAAATTTCACGTAAAAGTCACCATAATAGTAACCTGGTTTTTTTTAAAAGAAAATTAATAAAAGTTCGAGTCTATGATACTAAACCTATATGTAGGCCGTAACCCCTTTACATGCATGTCACAAGCCGAAGATGCAAAAAAAATATTTCAGAAAAACTGCGAATTGATACTGGAACATAACTGAAATTAAATGTATTTTCTTTTTATCAAATACTTTTCTCTTTTCAAGAAAAATCAAACTGATATACTGCAATGTACATAGCGCAGTAGGCAAAAGAAAGCAATTACAAGATTAATACTTTTTTAAAAACCATTTTACTAAATTAATATTAAAACACAACTGTTAGCAACAAGATGACTTATTTTCAGGTTTGAATTGTTTTGTGTCGGGACCTTTTAGAGCTTACTATTCGGTATGGATTTTTTCATTGTCGAGGGCTGTATGGTGATATATAGTTGCTTTCATCTGTCATTGGTCTGGTGGATAGTTGTCTCGTTTGCAATCATACATCTTTTTATTTTAAATTTGTTAATCAAATAAACGATTATTGATATGTTAAACTTAAATAATCTCTAGCATACACCATGAGAGAGAGATGTGTATTATTAGTTGATTTATTATTGTGTTGCTAAATATCAGAGTCAATTTGATGTAGCCCCCTGTCACGTATGATATCGTTAATTATCGCGGGATTTAAACTCAAACGCGCATAGGATTTCGAGATCAGCGTTGATAAGTCGCTTATGTGAAACTGATATCAAATTATTGAGAGAAAAAATATTTGATTTATTTATTATTTTTTAGCAAAAAAATACCTGAATATAGAAAGAAACACTGATAAACTATATACCTAAGTTGGAACAGACTATATACACATTAAACCTTTTGTCTTTTTTGTTTTCTTTACTAATAGATAATTGATATAATTAAAAGTGGGCAAACCAGGAGTAAACCGGTTGATAGATATCTGAGAAACAGTTAATAGTCTGTTTTAATTAGTTCACTTGATTCCTTTCATCCCTTTGAGAGGAACCGCTGTGAACTTGTAATATTATTCCACTATTGACATTTACATTTACTTTGAACGGACCACGGCTAGATAAAATATACTGCCAATATCTGAAATGACTATTTGTGTAACTTACCTTACTTTCGTTTTCAACTTTTGATAAAAGGGAGCTAATCTACGTAGTCAAACAATTTAAATCGTATATGAGGGTGTGGATGGGGGTTTACAGAATAGAAAATAATGGGCAAAAGATATAAAGAATAGAGAAAAATGGACCAAAAAAATAAAGAATAGAGAATAATGAGGTGCAAAAATATAAATAACAGAGAATAATGGGTTAAAAGTATAAAGAATAGAGAAAAATGGCCTACGAATACAGAAATGAAGGACCCCCATCCAGACCCTCATATATGTTTAGCGTATTACAAGTTAACAATATAAGGGTGTTGCAGTGTACAATTTTCAACTTGAAAAATGGCCTGAAATTTTCGTGTTAATCCTTAGATTTGTTAAAAAATGAAAATAACACTTTTGCGGTCGAGGCACTTTTCTTGATATACTTTCATCAGAAACTTACTAATTATTTTAATTTTAGCTCGATATTTCGTTTGCACATTTTTCCATGGAAGTTTAAGCCTTTTTCTTACAAATATTTGAAAATTAGTAAATAAAAGAAGAATTCATGTAATTCATATAACAATTTGTTATTGTGAAATGATAATATTTAGTTTCTCGATTAGGTATTTTACATTTTTTTACTCAAATGTTTGGTTTTTCTTGAGGTTCTTTCAAAAGCTAGGCAATGGCCATTATTGATTTAATCGATTACTTGTGTTTATTACTTGTTCCTACACTAGTTAATGTGTCTCTTTAAAACAATGCGTATTTCGAACGACGAGTGGTTGTTTCCAACAACGAGTGCTCGTTTCCAACGACGAGTGCTTGTTTCCAACGACGAGTGCGTGTGTTCTCCATCTTAGAAAGTTTCTGATGAAAGTATATCAAGAAAAGTGCCTCGACCGCAAAAGTGTTATTTTCATTTTTTAACAAATCTAAGGATTAACACGAAAATTTCAGGCCATTTTTCAAGTTGAAAATTGTACACTGCAACACCCTTATATTGTTAACTTGTAATACGCTAAACATATATGAGGGTCTGGATGGGGGTCCTTCATTTCTGTATTCTTAGGCCATTTTTCTCTATTCTTTATACTTTTAACCCATTATTCTCTGTTATTTATATTTTTGCACCTCATTATTCTCTATTCTTTATTTTTTTGGTCCATTTTTCTCTATTCTTTATATCTTTTGCCCATTATTTTCTATTCTGTAAACCCCCATCCACACCCTCATATACGATTTAAATTGTTTGACTACGTAGATTAGCTCCCTTTTATCAAAAGTTGAAAACGAAAGTAAGGTAAGTTACACAAATAGTCATTTCAGATATTGGCAGTATATTTTATCTAGCCGTGGTCCGTTCAAAGTAAATGTAAATGTCAATAGTGGAATAATATTACAAGTTCACAGCGGTTCCTCTCAAAGGGATGAAAGGAATCAAGTGAACTAATTAAAACAGACTATTAACTGTTTCTCAGATATCTATCAACCGGTTTACTCCTGGTTTGCCCACTTTTAATTATATCAATTATCTATTAGTAAAGAAAACAAAAAAGACAAAAGGTTTAATGTGTATATAGTCTGTTCCAACTTAGGTATATAGTTTATCAGTGTTTCTTTCTATATTCAGGTATTTTTTTGCTAAAAAATAATAAATAAATCAAATATTTTTTCTCTCAATAATTTGATATCAGTTTCACATAAGCGACTTATCAACGCTGATCTCGAAATCCTATGCGCGTTTGAGTTTAAATCGCGACTTTTGAATTTGCAAAGCGTATGCAGGCTGCTTTTCATATTCCAGTTACAATTCAATTTTATTTATCACTGGAATTATTTAAACTTTAAAAGCTAAACGTTTTTAAACATGTTTGTTTAAAATATGACGTCTGAACGTGCATATGTTCGTGCGGAACAACAAATAAGAAACATTCTTAATATTCCGGAATGGTATATTTTCTCAAATGCTGAAATTCGCTATGTGGCCAGAGAACATAAGAATTGTAGAGGAAATTTAACAAGCTTCTATTGGACATTACGAATGGATTGTGCAGCGCAATGCAACGGGTGCCTATTTTGTGGTGAAATTTTCAAATTGTGCGAAATTCACAACAAATATTCCAGACAGGCGTGAGCGGCGTAAAGGATTTTATTGCCTTTGGATTTACACTTTGAACACTTTCATCGTTAATAAACTGTAGCAATGTTTGAATCAGAAAATGAGGAGATCGGAAACCCGATGATAGAGCTATCGGACATTGACCGGGTAAAAAAGTGGGCGGCCAGCAAAAAAGTAAATGAACATTCGGCGGCGGAGTTAATCAGGCTAGGATATGAGGCCCTTTCTTGTCTCCTGCCTGAAGATTTGACAAAGTCTAAGATCCCCATCGGGCAACAACGGCTACTGCTGCGTGCAGTAAGATCTACGTTTCCAGCGGAGTGCGGGAGCGAATCTAACATGGCGGCGGAGGAACAACTTCCGGCATCTTCACCTGCAGCTCAACTGAACGCATGCGCAACATTGACGACAGATGGCGGGGCAGTTCAAACCGGAAATGGAGATTTATATGTGCAAGCTATAACGAAACAGCTTCAACAGCAACAATCGTTACCATTAGGAGATAATCTGAACATCAGCAAAACAAACCAAGGACAATCAACAGTGCATCCTGAAGGTATTCAAGAATTTGACTGTGTTTCTAACATTATTTCGTGGAAAGACCCACAAATATTTTTAAAATCTTCCTTTAATGATGTAACTATAAATTTTTATGACATAACTGATTTCGTAAATGTACATATGTCAGGTACTGGTTTTTCAGAGGAAAAACTTATTTCAGATGCTTCTGGGGGTCAGCTTATTTTCAAATCTGGTCCAGTTAAGCCAAAACTTGAGTCCCTGAGTTTGTGTCAATGGTCTAGTGCGAATTTATCTATTATGTACAAACTGTTGTCCTGTGGCGATTTGTCACAGACTCAATTACTTGATTACCTATCATATACTGCAAGAATTTACAATCTTGTTGCAACTTGTGACATGGTTTCTGTCTTTTTTTTTGACAGAGAATATAGGCAGCTGCAGAAACAGCACAAGTTTCGTTGGGGTACAGATGTTCCACATTTACATTCCATATATATACGTCCAAAGGGTTTTGTAAAGCCTCAGACAGGAGGCTCCAAATTTCAGACCACTGGCTCAAGACCTGGGGTTAAACATGAGATTACATATGCTTCCCATACATCAGGTGGGCGGGAAATATGCAAAAGGTTTAACAGCAGGAAGGGATGTTTTATGTCAAATTGTAGGTTTGAGCATGTTTGCGCGGTACCAGGCTGTGCTAATAAGCATCCTGCTCATTCTCACTCTAACTCTATGCATGGCAATCCAAAAAACGGGGTATAATGGTAAAGCCTACACGTGACCTAATCCTGTCTGCCTGGTCCAATGAATTACAAAATGATTTTGATAAAAAATTTCTTCTTCAAGGAATTGAATTTGGCTTTGACATTATTGATGCTACTGATATCCCTTTAAATGTTCAAGCAAAAAATCACCCCTCTGCCAGTCCGTCTGGCCCTCTTTATAGTAAAGCGCATACACAAGTTTTGATTGAAATTGAGAATGGTAACTATATTTTTGCAGATGAAACACCCAAAATTATTAGTCCCATGGGTGTTATACCTAAGCCAGGGGGCGGTATACGGCTCATACATGATTGTAGTAGACCTGAAGGTTCTGCCGTCAATGACTTTGCGGGTGACCCATCTAAACAAATTTTTCAAACTTTAGATGATGCAACAAAACTTGTAACAGCCAACTGCTATATGGCAAAAGTGGATTTGAAATCGGCTTATAGGTCCGTTCAAATAAGTAAAACAAGCCAGCAGGTGACAGGTTTTAGATGGACTTTCCCTGATGGAAAAGATTTTACCCTATTTGATCGCAAACTCCCTTTTGGTTCAAAATTGGCACCTGGTATTTTTCATCGTTTGTCCCAGGCTGTAAGAAGGATGATGTCACGTAAGGGCTTTACCATTGTAGCTTACTTAGATGATTTTTTCATATGCGAGCGGACTAAATCTAGATGCAAAGAAGCTTTGAATGTGCTTATCACTTTGCTGCGTTATTTAGGTTTTGCGATAAACTGGTCTAAAGTGGTTGATCCGTGTCAGCAAATCACTTTTCTTGGCGTAGAAATTGATTCTACTACTATGGAAGTCAGACTTCCAAGCGATAAATTGGCGGTTTTAAAAGCAGAGCTGCATGCATTCACAAAGCGTTCCCATGCTTCTAAAAAGCAACTGCAATCCCTAGCGGGGAAATTAAACTGGGCGTCAGCGGTAATTCGTGGCGGGAGAGTTTTTCTTCGACGAATTATTAACTGCATTATGCGTATTAAGCGGGATTGGCATAAAGCGCGTCTTAAGGGCGATATTGCGCAAGATATTCTCTGGTGGGATAACTTTATTTCATCCTTCAATGGGAAATCACTGATTTTAGATTTATATCCAGTCACATCAGTAGCTACAGATGCATGTCGTTCTGGGGCTGGTGGTTTTTTTTATAATGATTGGTTTTATGTAAATTGGCAATGTGACTTCCCTTTTGCAAAAAATTTGCACATTAATGAACTGGAAGCGCTTTCTGTTGTGTTTGCTGCTAGGCGTTGGGCGAAAGCATGGCAGAATAAGCGTGTTTTGATTTTTTGTGACAATGCGACAACGGTTAGTTGTTTAAACAAGTGTTCTTCAAGGAATGCTACCTTAATGTCTTATTTAAGAGAGCTGTTTTGGTTGTCAGCTACTTACAACTTTCACATAAAAGCTGTGCACATTGCAGGCAAATCAAATGTCATGGCTGACATGATTTCGCGTTTGCATGATACTTCTATGAGTATACGGTTCATGCGCTTTTATTTACCTAATCCTCTGTTTGTGCACCACATTGAATCCCACATGTCTAGTCACTCCCTCCTTTTTCTTTTGAATAGGCTCACAGGGCTCCAACGAGATGACGGCATTGGATGATATTGTTCTGGACTTCAGATGCCATGCCTATGCAGAGTCAACTAAAAAGACTTACATGACTTATTTAAAGTCCTTTGTGGCATTTTGTAATTTAGTTGGTATTCCAGTGGTTCCCTTAAGTCAAGAGAATTTAGCAAGATATATTGCCCACCTGTCTCGTCGACTGAAGTATAATTCCTTGTGCAATTATTTATCCATAATCAGAATTTTGCATCTTGAGGCAGGGTATAGCTCCCCAATTGACACTCATTTAGTTTCTAATGTGTTGAAAGGTGCACGTAGAGTGTTGGGGGATGTCAACACAGCTAAGTTGCCAATTACCCCCAAGATTTTGTTTAAATTTTTGCCGTTATATCCTTTAACGATACTAAAGATGTGGCGTTTTGGGCAGCTTGCCTTGTTGCTTTCTTTTCCTTTTTCAGGAAGTCTAATTTGTTGACACCATCTGTGAATGATTTTGACCCTGATCTCCATTTAAGCAGACATAATGTATTTTTTCAGAAAGATGGTGTCCTATTGCGCATTTCCAAATCTAAGACCATCCAGTTTGCAGAACGTTGTTTAGATATTCCACTTCCTGCTATAAAAAATTCTCCTTTATGCCCCTCACAGGCTTTATTATTAAATTTTAAAATGGTACCAGCTGTCAAAACCCCTACACCGGCCTTTTTATATCGACATGGGGAAGACACTATCCCCTTAACCTATGCAGTGTTTTTGGCTAGGCTTAAAACTGTCCTATCAGTTATTGGTTTTGACGCCTCGCTTTATTCTGGACATAGTTTTCGTAGAGGAGGTGCCACGTTTGCCTTTCAGTGTGGTGTTCCAGGGGAACTAATTCAGTCTCAGGGAGACTGGAAAAGTGATGCATATAAGGGTTATTTGGACCCCTCTCCTTCCTACAGATTGCATGTCATGAAAACTTTTGCTAATGCACTTAAACTTTCTATTTAACATATCACTACATTATTCCTACATTGTATATGGTTTGGGCAAGTGTTTGGAGTACCACAGACTTATCAGTGAATTGATATTTGCGAAACAATTGACTTTTTATGATTCTTTCATTGTTCATTGGCATTGTTTATTATATAATGAAAGAAATTAATAAAACTGTGGTTAGTTTGCCCAAACCAGTATTTTGTCTCATTTCAACTTATATTTGTTTATCTGGTCCAGCCTGTGCAAAACGGTTAAGGTACGAGATTCTGTTTGGCTTCAGTAAACATGAGCTCTTCAGGGTCTGGTCTGACATCCAATTGTGTTATGGGCATGGACCAGAGTATAGCCTTTGCCTGCTGGATGCATATCACATACACACATACATTACATGTAATTCTCTCAGAAACCCATGAGGAGGTGGGTGGGACCAATACAAGTGTATCTGGATTAATGAGAGAAAAAATATTTGATTTATTTATTATTTTTTAGCAAAAAAATACCTGAATATAGAAAGAAACACTGATAAACTATATACCTAAGTTGGAACAGACTATATACACATTAAACCTTTTTTCTTTTTTGTTTTCTTTACTAATAGATAATTGATATAATTAAAAGTGGGCAAACCAGGAGTAAACCGGTTGATAGATATCTGAGAAACAGTTAATAGTCTGTTTTAATTAGTTCACTTGATTCCTTTCATCCCTTTGAGAGGAACCGCTGTGAACTTGTAATATTATTCCACTATTGACATTTACATTTACTTTGAACGGACCACGGCTAGATAAAATATACTGCCAATATCTGAAATGACTATTTGTGTAACTTACCTTACTTTCGTTTTCAACTTTTGATAAAAGGGAGCTAATCTACGTAGTCAAACAATTTAAATCGTATATGAGGGTGTGGATGGGGGTTTACAGAATAGAAAATAATGGGCAAAAGATATAAAGAATAGAGAAAAATGGACCAAAAAAATAAAGAATAGAGAATAATGAGGTGCAAAAATATAAATAACAGAGAATAATGGGTTAAAAGTATAAAGAATAGAGAAAAATGGCCTAAGAATACAGAAATGAAGGACCCCCATCCAGACCCTCATATATGTTTAGCGTATTACAAGTTAACAATATAAGGGTGTTGCAGTGTACAATTTTCAACTTGAAAAATGGCCTGAAATTTTCGTGTTAATCCTTAGATTTGTTAAAAAATGAAAATAACACTTTTGCGGTCGAGGCACTTTTCTTGATATACTTTCATCAGAAACTTACTAATTATTTTAATTTTAGCTCGATATTTCGTTTGCACATTTTTCCATGGAAGTTTAAGCCTTTTTCTTACAAATATTTGAAAATTAGTAAATAAAAGAAGAATTCATGTAATTCATATAACAATTTGTTATTGTGAAATGATAATATTTAGTTTCTCTATTAGGTATTTTACATTTTTTTACTCAAATGTTTGGTTTTTCTTGAGGTTCTTTCAAAAGCTAGGCAATGGCCATTATTGATTTAATCGATTACTTGTGTTTATTACTTGTTCCTACACTAGTTAATGTGTCTCTTTAAAACAATGCGTATTTCGAACGACGAGTGGTTGTTTCCAACAACGAGTGCTCGTTTCCAACGACGAGTGCTTGTTTCCAACGACGAGTGCGTGTGTTCTCCATCTTAGAAACGATCGCCTCGAAGGATCCTGTCAAAATAATTTTAACACATTAAAACCCGGTGGTGTCAAGAACACTCTTTTCCGGTTAACAAGCGATGCAAAACGTAGGTCACTTTCCACAACAGAAAATATAGTCAGGAGCGTAGTTAAAACATACAGCCTTCTATTTTAATTTTCCATATAAATGTGTAAAGGGAAAAATACAGGCATCTGTCGTACATTCAAGCGTATAGTAGATGCTTAGTTTTTTCTTTTTTTTTTAGCATTTTCTTGAAATAACAAGCTATTGTATGATTGCCAATGACACATCTATCTTCTAAAGCACGGTAGGTATAGTATCCAGCTGAGATCGTGTTTTTTCGAGTGAATCGGTCCACTTTTTTCGAGTGTAGATGAGGTTTTTTCGAGTGATATTACATGCGATCAGAGAGATTTACTGCTATTTCGCGAGTATAATAATTTTTTTTCGTGACTGTTCATCTTATTCTGAATGCTAAACATGTTTTGAGCACAAACGACGCACACTTTCCTTGTAGTTCACTTACAATTCAATGTTTTATATTGTCCGTGTTTTTTCAAGAGCAACATTTAAAGCGTCAACAAATGGTCCGGGTTTTTTGAAGAAATTGTATATAAGAAAGAAGACATTCTTGGGCTTAAAAACTGTCTTTTTCCAGTTTGGAACTGTAATTTACTATTATGTGTCTGTTTGTCTTTTTATTTTTGGCCATGGTGTTGTCAGTTTGTTTTCGATCTATGAGTTTGACTGTCCCTCGGGCAT